TAGTATGTCTCGAAAGGTTTTCGGAAAGATGTCAACTACTATCCGAGGATAAACACGCTAGGACAAATCAAAACACAAGCAATCGAATTTCATTGCAAGCGGAAAATAAGCACTTGTCTCCCTTAATGCAGGTCAGTTCCAACGTAGCTAGAGAAGATACAAGGAAACGATCACACCGTGATCACCATGTGATTCAATACTGTGTTTCAATGCTTGAAATATCAATCACTACACCTCTTTGTGACCAGTTAATCGCCGAGGCGAGTCGGGAATACCGACATGGGCATGTCGCGNGCGTCGTTCTTTGAACTACCGCTAGTGATCAGTGAAAGTCGAACTGCACGCGAGTATACGAAAATGGGTAACGCAGGTTGATAGCGATTGAAATCTTACAACAGCACTTAACGTACATATATACACCTGAGCAAGATCCGACAATGATAAGCAGCTGCTGTGTGTTCTCCGTGTACAGGTATCCTCGATCTTGGATAGAGTTAGCCTCTATACCAAAATGCATCTGTTCGAGAGAGTTTTGCAAATTTTACAAAATGTATGTGGTATCCTTCACCTTCAACTTAAACATGTTGTCCTACCAATCGGGAAAACATTCGTTTTCGCTATATCGTCAATCTTAAGCGGATTGGCTGAGTTTGCAGTGTTTCATGAGCAACAAATAACATCATCTATTGGGTTATATTGCGTCATTTTTGAATAGAAATGACATTTCTACTAGTAAAATTATGAAGTTAATGTGTGGCACATCAACCGGTGCAGATTAGCCAACCACACTCAAGGTCAAACCCCGAGACCTCACAGTCAGAACCCTATACACTTCCTACTTCCACAAAACAATAATTCAAGCCAGATTCCTAGCATTTCCGTTGACAACGTCCGCATACTTCCGGTATGGTATATTCACTTTTCGCAATTTACCTCTTTCCGCTTTGGATAACTGGATGTTGAATACCCGATTTCCAGATGTAATGAGCGCTCAGCAGCAAACTTTGGCTCAATGTACGGATCATTTATTCGAACTGCACGGCTATTCAAATTAGTCACCAAACTGATCATTCTACAAAAGGTCAGATAAAATTTAGGCGCCAAAACCCAATTATCGTCAGTCAAGTACAACGAAAACCTCAGATGTTTTGGTTGTATTTGCACAAAACGGAGACTTGCACTTGGAGTAAATTAATTACACAATGCATTCTAAATAGCAATTAACGATGTCACCAATTGTGCACCAATTTTTGCGTGGTTCTCATCCTAGTGAAACGCACATGAATTGACATCTAAAAATAGAATGAGGTTTCACAAAGAGATAACTTATTACTATCAAGAAATGCCTGCAGACAAGTAGTAGGCTGCGGTATATATCGATAATACAAGTGACAGAATGGGTATCCAAAACAACACACTTTTCATTGTGCTTCAGATGTTTGCGAAGGCTTTCAAAACAACAACAACAACAGCAACAGCAACAAGTAGCGGTACAACACACACCAACTTCCACATGAATACCACCATCGTTGATTCCATCACCTCCATTGTCAATAAACTCGAGAATATGATCAATATCCTGTCCGACAACGACGACAACAACAACAAAACCAGCAACAAGATCGACGTCAACCACAATCACCGAAATGAGAAGAACAACAACTGAAAAATAAGAATATCACAAACCCATCAAAACCAAACGAATTGGAAACCGTCCCTTCAAACGAGGAGGTTTTATTGGATAGATAGATAGATAGATATTTGGGTTATTGATTTGTCAAGTGTTAGTGGAAGTTCGAAAATTTCCCCAATGCTGGTTGTTTGCTTTCATGGAAGTGACCCGTATATCCACCATTTATTCCTCAACTGTGGATCAAAGCAGAGGACAGATTGTGGACGAACCTTTGATTTCGGTGAGTTTCTTCGCAAACCATTGCAATCCGTTAATGTTATTGATTGATTTTAACTGAATATCCTTAGGGCTTTACCTTTACGCACAATTCTCAGTTTATCGATTCAATCATACACTCGAAAGCAGTAGACTCGAGTTTCGCCCTTATTACAGCTCATCAGTAGTGCATACCAACCATCCCCTCTTGGATTGGAACTCTGGATCCATTGCATCGAAGCGTTTGCGTTACCACTGGGCCAGCCAGCTCATATCCATGCTGAAACAATGTTTGTTCAGATGCCGTCCTCAGTTCATTTGGCCCGACAGCAAAGAAGGGAGACAGACGATAATTTGTTAACTTCAATCGAAAATAGCGGTAGGGTGTTGTGTTTTTTGGGATCAGACAGTCAAGGTTAAATAATTGTTGCAAAGGGGTCGAGTGCGGACACGTTTGTCTCCAGTTCTCTTGTTCCGACAGGGACCAGTTACGTAAGCGTTGATGATTGATTTGTATCATCATGACGCTTGTGCGTGATGTCTTCCGCTTTGGACCAGGAATGTTTAAGTGTCTGAACAAGTGTTATTTATTAGAGAACACAATTCTGGCTTCAATTGTCCGAATATACCATCCATGCCCATTGTGAGAAAACACGAAACAGCGAACAAGCTCGTTTACGGTGATTCTTCTACAGGCTAATACGTCACAATTTATATCAAACTGTTCGGCAGGGGGTGGGGAGAGATCAAGACGATTTGGGAAGAGATAATTACCATTCCAGTTCCATGACCGGATCTCACTCCTACCGTGGTCCTCACACATGCGCACTTGTTTGGGTCATTAGGGGCGGCTGGGGGGATGGCTGTGTTGTGTGTCAGGTGTTGGCCATGGAAGACCGAGTGTGTTCTTACGAATTGTTTTTGGGAGCATATTGAGGCGGGGGGATTATGTAGGTGGGTTCCGATCGCCTTCGCTGTGGCCCGAAATACGATTACTAATTCTCTTCGATCGGCGGGTGCAAACCAAGTAGAGGGGTCGAAACGCCTCGGCCAGATAAACTACGTGGTTTGATTCCACTAGATGTGAAACGACTGAGCTGATAATGGTCTCGCTGAGATAAACGTCTGTTCGTGCGGCCAATGTTCCTTGCCCTACAGGAACAGGTGAATAGCGATACACAGAAAGAGACGACAGAAAAAGGCAATTTATCTTTGGGTCTAAAGCGCAGAAGTGGCCTGGCTTCAACAAGTCAATGACAACTGTCTCGGTTGCTGCTAGTGTTTTTGTTTGAGTAGCCTTGGATTTTTGTTGTGGAACACCGCTTTGGACCAGGAAAGCCGAATTACCATCTAATCCAAGTCCAGTTTTGACCAAGTGTGCTACAATGGAACTTGAAATAGCTCCGATTACTCTGTGTCTAAGCTTCATGGGTTGATGTTTCTTGATGCGTTTAGATAGCTGCCTTGTCGTAAGACCTACATAAGTGGCACCATCAGTCCACTTGAATTGGTGGATGAGCATTGACACGGTCAACAGTAGGTAACTTATTCTTGTTCTGATATCGGATGACGGGTGCGCTAGATTCTTGCTGTCTTGCAGCTAGCAGTTGGCTGTGCAAGGTCAGATGTGCGACCTCGACGTAATGCTGGGATGTTTCCGGTATCTAACTCTCCGAGAACCTTCATGGAATATCCATGAAACCGCTAATTATCTTCCAGGAGCCAGTCGCCATGAGGTAAGTTCAGGTCAGCTCAGTAGACTGTAGTTCAGTAGATCCTATTCAGGATTCTATTCAGGAATTAAAACGTGTC